GTTGTGGGCTGGCTGGGGGGGATAGTCTGGACGCTCCCCTGCCGACATCAAAGGTATTTGTCGACCACCCAGGTAAACCTCATCCCAGCTGATCAGCTGTTTGTCGGCTCAGCGCGGCAGCCATGTAAATTTAAATGAAGCGGCGATTATTTAAATCGCCGCTTCATTTTACTATGTCCGGTAGCCTAATCTACATGCCTCTGTCGCCAGAGGCATGTAGTCTAGACGTACCCTATTTGAAGATGTTCTATTTTAATAGTAAAAAATGTATGAGAGAATTCCCATTGCTGAAGAACAAAGTAGTTTTAGGTTTTTGCTGTTGGGGTGGGTTGTGTTTTGTGTGTGTGTGTGTGTGTGTGTGTGTGTGTGTGTTGTTGTTGTTGTTGTTGTTGTTGGGGTTTTTTTGTGACACCAAGTTTCATTCCATTGCAAAAATCTGACTTTGTTTTGCCACCAAAACTGGCAGTTTCCTTGCTTGTAACAAATTCATGTTTCTTCCCCAAAGAGGAAAGAAATCTTCTGTTAAGAGTTGTGTTCATGCAGGAAATGAGACTTAGATTTGATTAATGTATGTTCACAAAACTATTACTTTTCATTTGTTCATACTTACTTAGACTTCCAGAATGAAGAATAATTCTCTATGTAGAGTTGCCTGAAGCTACAACTTTCTACTTTGTATTTCCCATCAGCAGTAATGAGATTTATCTGTCAGGGGATAGATAGATCTCTTAGCTTAAATTAATCATCTTACCTCTGCATATATTTTCCCTTCGCAGGTATATGCATTGTTTTGCTTTGGGGTCTTTTTGTTCTTCTTTTTTCCTATTTGCATTTTTCTGGTCATGAGTAAGTATTATGCATCCTTGGTAAGACTGCATCTGTAAGACACCGTGTCATTACCAGAAACATGTAGCCAGATTGCTCTTTCCTGAATTCCCTCCAATGAAAAATGATTATGTATCTGCAGAGAGGGGAATAAGAAAGTATTTAAGAAAGAAACAAATAAAAACCTCCCAAGCCTAAATATGAATAGTGTGGCTAAGGCCCTGATCCTGGAAATGCTTAATCCACGTGATTATCTTTACTATCATTGGACATGGTAGTCAAGTTAAGGATATGCTTAAGTGTTTGTAGGCCCAGGGCCTAATGGAAGAGGGACACCCAATTCAATAAATATTTGAAGGGTAAACAGGAAGAAAAAGGATGGACCAGATAAAGCAGAATGTGTTGATTCAGGCTTGGAATAAGGATCTTTGTCTCAGAAAAATTGACTCTTTTCTCGGGTAGGAGGGAAAGTTGGTGGCAAAGAGAGCAAGATATTGTTCTGGAAACATAGTGAGCCAGGGATTAATTTTTTTATGTGTACACCTATTGGATTAGATCTTGGTGCCATTTAGTTTTATTTCACACTAGCATCTGATTGCCCTAACACTTCTGACTAAATAACAGATGCAGCTAGAATATATGGAGTGACATTATGTTGTCAATGTGGCCAAGTTTATTTGTAATTTTTTCCAGGGGTTAGTTGCTGCAGATCAGTATCAAAGGCCTTCCAGCTGGATTCTCTGAGCTGATGGCTGACCTCAGACTTTGAGTGCATGCTGAAGCCAGAGTGCCAGGACATAAACACCATCCTCGGTGCTATCTCGCTGCACTGACTTTTGTTACTTTAAAGATTGTTCTGTTTCTTAAGATGACTGCATTTTATATTAGGTTAAACTTCATTGGCAAGTACCAGGGATGCATTTTAGTCTTTTGCTTTTGAAATTGATCTTATTGATCATAGAGTGGAAAGAAAGGTTCACAACAAAGTGGTTTAAAGAGATGTTCAAAGTGCAAATAAACACACTAATACAGCGTTGCTCTGATCACATCTTTTTTGCTTAGAGACAGGAATGAGTTTTGAAAGGGCATATATATAGAAAGGGAAATGCTTGGTTGGGTATATTATTTTTAGGTTTTATTTATAAACAGGTTGGGAAGCAGAAAAAACACAGGAAGAAGAAAAAGGAAAAACTTAGTTATTGATTGTAACATGGGAACATATGCAATTTTTGTTAGTGTTTTTGTGCATGGGTAGAAGATCTGTTATATATTGTATGTACAGAACATGTTTAAGTGCATAGGTATTAGGGATGTAAGAGGTTAACCAGTTACCTGGTAAACAGGTGGCTTATCGACCTGCTTATCAGGTAACCGGTTAACTAGTGTGGCTGGGAGGACCCTGCCTGCAACTGCAGTGGGGCCAGGACACCCCCCAGTGCTCGAGGCCATGGCAGGGCCGAGGTGGGGCTGAAGCCAGAGCAGTCCCACTGCCCGTGGCCGGGCCAGAGCAGCCCCCACCAGCTGCAGAGAGGATGGGGGCAGAGCAACCCCTGTTACCTGTGGCGGAGCTAGACAGCCCCTCCTCTAGCCGTGCTGTGCGCAGGGCAGGGGCTGCTCCAGGATTAATGGATAAATCTAGTGCTTAACTGGTTAACATTTTAAATATCAATTAACAACCCTGATGGTAGGTGTTGTAGAGAACACTAGTGTATACATTTGTTTGTGAGATTTTATACCCCTACACTTTCAGCTAACTTATGAGAACTTGCAGACCCTCCAACAGGCCTTCCCATGGAAACCTGATAAGATAAAACTTCACCTTTTAATTTTAAAAACAAGCAGAATACCTGCCACACCCTTTTAAAATCTGGTCTTTCTACATTCCAAAGAAGCAAAAAAGACACATGCTTATCTCATGGCTTTTTCTTTTTCAGTCCTGTGTGGATTTCCTTTAAACTATTGCTTCTGTGTGTTCACATGGCTGCAGAGCTACATTATATAATGCAATGTCATCAGTTATTGTAGACACAGCATCAGCACACAGTAACTTTACATTGTAAAACCTGAAAATAAATTCAGAGACTCTTTTTTTTATTGTCCTGCAAGCCAGTTTTGCAAGAGGTGGGACTGATACACAAAAATAAGCATTGTCTTGCACATTAGAAGACTAGTGGCAATGATGAAGTTGTGGAGATCATACCAAAATAATAGCGTCAGACGAAGGAAGAAGTTTGTTTCTGAGAATAGGTGCTTAGGAATTCGTAAGCTGCTCCTCTCACAATTTGCTTCATTAACATATGGTGCTCTTTAGCCATTATGTACTTTTCCATTTCAAATAAATTAAAAAATCCAATAAGCCAGCGATCGATCGATCGATCTTTCTTTCTTTCTTCCTTCCTACCTACCTACCTACCTACCTACAAGAAATGTGTCTGTTATCAGTCAAAATATATCACACTGAGCAGTTCTTGTGTCTGGTCCAGTTGGTAGCATGAGTCAGAATTTGGTGCTGTTGTGCTGAGGTAGGATACTGGTGAAGGTAGCAAACTGCTATGGATGAGTGAAATTGATGAGGATTTAAACCAACAATCACCCCACACAAGAGAATATTAGAATTATGTCTGTGGCTAGGAAGGGCCGGTTATTTATCATTCCTTTTTATGACCTGGGTCACAGGCTAAGTGAGTTTCTCAAGGTCATGGAGGAAGTCTGTGGCTGACCAAGAAATCAAACCTAGATCTCTCGAGTCCTAGACTAATGCCTTGACCTCTAGGTCACCCTTCTTCCTCTCTTAGGGTACGTCTACACAGCAAAGTTATTTCGAAATAACAGCCCTTATTTTGAAATAACTTTCCTAGCGTCTACACAGCCAAACCGCTATTTCAAAATAAATTTGAAATAGCGGAGCGCTTATTTCGAATTTGGTAAACCTCATTCTATGAGGAATAACGCCAAATTGGAAATAGCTATTTTGAAATAAGTGCTCTGTTGTGACGTAGTGGGGGTACCTGGCTGGGCTGTGGTGACCTCTGCTGTCTGGAGCAAGACCCAGCAGGGAAAACCTCATTATGCAAAGGTGATTCCAAACCTGTTGAACTAGCCACCCCCATGGGGAGAAACAAAGGGAGGTGGAAGGCTGCCCTGGCTGGGGGCAGGGCTTGGAGAGGGAGAGTGAGTTCCTGGCTGGAAAGCAGGGGAGAAGGAGCTGGGGAGGGGAGCTGGGATGCCCCTATCTCAAGGGGGGCACTGAGGCCTCTTAGCCCCCAGTTCCTGTAACCAGATTACATCTGTGCTGTGCTATATCCTGGAGGGGCAATAAACAACCTCCATTCTACCGGCTGGTGGAGTCTGTTCATGCCATTTCGGGGGTGCAGGAGACAGGAAAATCCTGACACGTCGTCACATCTGTAGACACTTATTTTGAAATAGGGGGCCTCCAGCCTTCCCAGGGTGCCCTGGTGGCCACTCCAGCCTCAACCAAGAACGCTCCTCTCCCTTCCCCCCTCCCCGGAGCCCTTAAAAGGGTAGACTCTGGCCACAGTGCCTGTGCCAGCTCCAAGCCTGCCAGCCCAGAGCCAGCAGTCACTGACCCTGACCCAATGGCCCCTAAACATGAACCAGCAAGCCACTGGCAGCCAGCCCTCCACTGCTCCCCAGGAGCAGTCTGCCAGCTCCCAGGAGCTTGCCAGGACCCAGAGAAGGCGGGCGCCTTCTTGGTCCAGGATGGAGATCATGGACCTTATTCAGGTTTGGGGGGGATGCCCCCAATATTCCTGATCTCTGCACTAGATGGGAGAACATGGCCGTCTATGTCAGGATAGCTGCCAGCCTGGCCACCAAAGGCCACATGCGAACCCAGGAGCAGGTTCGCATGAAAATCAAGTTGGTCCGGCAAGACCCCCCACCCTGAGCCCTAAGCTTCCCCTTCCCTTCTTCCCCTTGTTTCCCCCTTCCAGCTCCTTCCTCCCAGGTTTCCCCCTCCCCTCTCCCACCCTCTCTCCTTCCCTCTCTTGCCTCCTTTCCCCAGTCTCACCAGAGTTTCATTCCCTCCCCCGCCCCAGTTTTGTTAAATAAAGACAGTTTGTGTTTATGAAAAAATGTGTATTTTATTTGATAGCAGAAAGGGGGGCTAGGGAGGGGTAAGTGGAAGGACGTGAGGGAAGAATGAGGCACAAGCCCTCAGTGGGGCAGACCAGGGAGACTGTTAGTGCTCCTCAGGGTGGAAGTTCTCCCGCAGCGCCTCCTGGATACTGACAGCCCCCTGATGGACCTCCTGGATGGCAGCCTGCAGAAAGTGCAGCCAGGCTCGCAGCA